TGGCCAACTGGGACTGCATAGGACTTACTACAGCAACTTTTTGAAAAAATCGCAATAATTTTTTTTTCGCGTTAGTGTGCAAGTTTATTTGCATAAGTGTGTGGTGTATGGGTGGTGTGTGCGTGTGCGCGACACTTGCCTGCACATTTCGAACTTCAAACTTATGAAGCCTGTGAAATTGAAATTTTGACAACTGACTCTACCATTATGAATGGAGTTGATGTGAGCAGAATTACATATTGTTTGAGAAATAAGTTCGTTTCAGGTACTTTCGATCCAAATTACCAAACGATGGCCGGACTTGGAAACGATGTGTTCGGTGACAAAGGTGGTGGTATTGCTGTAGGTGGTGGGGCACCGCCACCGCCGGCACCGGCACCACCACCACCACAACCAGCCGCTCCCAAACCGCCTGAAAAAGGCGGAATTGCTGGTAAATGTCATTTATTTTAGATTTCAAAAGTGTAAACGCGAAGGTGCAAAATCCTGCCAAGCAAAAGCGAAATTCAGTTAAAACCAATTAACCAATAGAACCAATTAACCAATGAGAATAAGAGCAAGGAACCTGTGTTTAGGGGAAGGTAGTGCTAGTGGAAGTGAAAGCCAATACTGGTAAGCTTAGTACGATTGGGAGAACCGTTGACATCAGACAAGGGTAATGGAACTTCATTCCAGATGGTGCCAAAATCAACTGAAAGACTCCATTTCGCTAGTCCAGGAAAGTATTAGTAATAAATTAAACAGAAGGAAATTGATTTCAAAAATAGAAAGGGAACAGTCAGATCAGCTCTAGCTAGCGGGTTCTTCGGTATGTAATTTGGGATATTAATAAACCATGCGTCTCTGTTAAAGCACAAACACGTACATACAACAGCAATAACGACAAGAACGATGAAAGCAAATAGCAGGCATTACTTCTAGGCCAAAAAATGTCTGGATTTATATATCAATTTCTGTTTAGCTTGGACAAACTTTCAGTCTTGACCTCACGTGCTTACATTTGTGAAATAATCTTAATTAGGCCAAAAACGGTGGTGTTTCGCACAATTGATATGTATATCAACCCGGGCAAGCAACAAAAGCTCCTCGTTTTGGCATTCTAGTAAAACAGCATTTTAAGCCAAAGCCCATGGAGCCACAAGCAATTTCTAGTCTTTTCAGAGTTAAAGAAAGGAGGACACGTCACAATAAAATCTGTTAAATAATTTGCTATTGCCACAACCATCATACTGACGAAGTCCAGTT